TTTAATCCTAATATTTCATAATTTGCAACGCTAAAGTAAATAGATCAATGCTTTATCGCAACATTAATTCAAGCGAATATTATTATCTTTGTGCGGTTATAATTCAATTTAAAATTCGTTAAAAGATGTTACTACTCACAAGTATGATAAATATCCACACACACGATCACTATTCTTGTCAAAAATTTTATGCAATATAATCAGTCACGAAAGAAAAATGAAAATGCTTGTGACTCACCATTAGATCCGAAGAACATTGTCATCGAGAAAGAATCATTGAATACCAAGGTGAAAATAAAACTGTAAAAATTCAAGAAAATATGAAATTAAAATTCTGATCTTTTCTTAATTAAATAAAATTAATTAAAATATAATACTCAAAGATAAAATAAATGATGCATTTACCATTCTTGATTCCTGGAGAGACAGCATCCTCTTGCGAAAATCATTGACTCTAATACCGATAACGAATATTCAGAGATAAAAATAAAAATAAAAAACTAGTAACGTGCCCGTTTAAAATACTATCGACGAACAAACACTGACTCTAATTTCGCGCAAAAATTCTAACTGAATTTACAATAATTGTTAAGAGCTGCTGTGCTCTGAAAGAATATAATTTCTATTACGTAGTAAACACTGACTTTACCGACCGCATTGCACGCGATTACAAATATTCTCTGAAAGTAAAAGTGTATTAGTCAGGGAATTTACAAGTTTATAAATGTACAAAAATAATTTCAAGAAATCAAATTTTCTTAGAAAAGCATGCTTATGGATAGACTGATAACAATACGTAGAAGCTACGATTAACCTTGGCCTTGACTCGAAATGCGACTAAACTCTCGCACTACCCTTTAAAAACAATGAAAGTTGACAAAAGTATAATGGCGATTTTATTACAGAGTGCACGTTTGGAATAGAATAAAATATACAAGTTATCTTGACTTCTCGCTTAAATACAAAACAATTTGATAAATATATATTATTCGAACAGAGAAAATGTGATTTCTTTCATTGTATTTAATTTCGTTTCAATACTTCTGACAAGGTACGAATGGAATGATAAATCAAATGATCCTAACATACCTAATACAGTTGGTCAGTCATCGAGATGTTCTTTCAATGTGATTTCAACATTCAATCTGTACGAATGAGAAGCAAAAACTTGAGGTTAAAAATCAATAATATCAAAATAATTGCCAATAGTGCAATAAATAAGCCTCAGAAACTGTTAATGTATGATGCTCGTAAATCGAACAATTACGTAGTTAACCAAAGAGAACAGAACAAACGGAGTTAAAATTATTGAATATTGCTGTGACAGTATTTAAAAATGTATTAAATAACAATATATTAATTCAACGAACCTAATAGTAGTCTGTAGGATGTGGTAGAATGATGATACAAATGCTACGCACGAACGAAATTTACACCTGTCAAACAAATCGACACGTCCTGACGCCACGCTTCCCGACACCGGAATGATGGCATCTCCCGCCAAATTCTCTTCTAGACGCTTTGCTATTGGCTGATGCTACGCGCTAACCCTTACGCGTAAAGCGGCGCGCAAAATTAAAATACTTTGCGTGCAATATTCAAAACACAATCAATAAACGTTGACAGTTTCAGGCGAAATAATTACAAAGAATTTGCGAATTGTTGCTTTTTCATCAATAAAGATACATATATGTACAAAGATGAACATACACGGTAATTTTTAAATGAATATATACCATACACAAAAATATAACTATGGAATTATAAATTATTATTGCTAACTATAAAGTTGATTTTCCTGATACAACTATTCCTATTTTATGATTTTTACATTTTTTACCATTCCCACATGAAACAATATCAATAAATAAAATAAAAATTAAATTATTAGTATTATTTTCTTATTTTAATGGAGTATTACACGAATAGATGGCAGGACTTCATTCGGTCATAGTTTTATCGTCGATTGATTCTATCATTACAGAGATTTCTTTTATCGACATCATGAGTATTCAGTAGTTCATCCAATTTTCTCAAAGATAGCAGACTACATAATTCTACATTATTAAAAATGTGGAAATAATGTTAATTAAAATGCAACAATAGATATTACAAATTACGGCCAATTGAATCTTTCGCACGTATAATTCATAATTAACAGATAATTAAATGTATAACGGTGATTTTTATAAATAAAATGAATCATATATTTATTGCAGTATGTACAATTTATATTATTTTAATTTTTTATTCCATTGTTCTGAAAATATTTAGCAATTAAGTATCTTAGAATATACATTTATAAGTTAAACATCTTACAATGAAATTTTGAACTTATAGATTGTAATAATATAAATTTGCTTTTTAAATTTTACAATCTCATACGTTGCATATTGCTTCCAAACCAAGGGGTACATTTTACAATTATTATATTTTTTAAATAAAAAAAGAAAAAGTTTTTGCCAGGTGTGGGGTTCGAACCCACGCTCCCAATTGGGAACCAGAACTTAAGTCTGGCGCCTTAGACCGCTCGGCCAACCTGGCTTGTTGAACACATGTTTCTTCATAATATTATTTATCGTACAAATAATTAATAAGTATTATTTTCCATTTACTTTTGTAAAATATGACAGTAAATATGTTCTAGGAAAGTTTAAATATTATCTACATACAATACGTTGGAAATTATAGCTGCTTCCCATGTATAATTGAACATGATACTGCACATCAAATTAGTTTACTTGCAGTATTTTTATATATTACAGGTAACGATAAAATAACATCTTTGAATGCACTGAAAATGATATCTTTCATGCATTAAGAATTAATAATTTTCCCAACAATCGCAGCGTAATAAATTACACGTGGCAAATAAATTTGCAACAGATACAACTTAATAAATGTTAAATTTATCGAATTTATACAAAGGTAGTTTGTTGTAACTGGTAGTTCAGTTAAAAGAAACATAAATCAGATGGCTTTATTTGATAGATACCGCGGGCTATTGTAGAATAGTTGCAGAGCAAAGGAAACTCAATAGCAGGGAATAAGGATTACCGACAATCAGTAGATGGTAATATCCTTTTCCATCGATAGAGGCACAATGCAGTGGAAGAGTGGTGTTGCTCGGGCTCACAAACAGAATTCAAATGGAGCCGACTACTCGGCGAAAAAGCAGATCTTATCGTAGTGAACTGTCAAGGGTGCATCACCGGATTGCTCCTATCCCTGCCGGCTCCCAGCGGCCCTCGGTTCATCCCCTTTGACGCCCGACTCAAATTCTACCCCGATATCGCTCTGACGCAAAAGAGCATACGCAGTAACGCGTCAATATACGCTTTACGAACATTCGTAATTGTTATTAATGCCGGAAACAAGATGGAATACGAGTTTAAAGTCATTTATTTATTCGTTTTGGAATATTTATGCATCACCTTGAAATGAAAAAACGTTCCCGATTACGTTGATCTTTAAATCTTGGTGTTCTGAAATCTTTTATTTGTGCTACAATTTTTTTTAATTCAATTAAAAAGAAATTATTTTGCAAGTAAATGTAGGTTTGCACGATATTTAATCTATAGGTACGTGAATTAAGTATGGAATTTAAATATTAAAATTAAATACTAAAATAAAATGTTTATTTCAATTAATTGTAATAAACTGTCTTTCAGTTGAATGAAAATAATCGAGTCTTGATTAAACGTTAGAAGTTTTATTTCTTACCATTTATCAATTGAAGACTGAATGTTAAATTCATTGAATTTGCGACGAATAATTGGTAAGGGAAATAATATTAAACATGTACCTGTTTACAGATAGGAGATCAAATTGTCTTTACAGAATTTTCCTAAAATTACCCTTTTATTTTCGCTCTTTTTTTCTAGATTCCAATTAGATCGAGTGCGACATGCCTCGTATAGAATTTTATGGGATCGCACGTGTTGAAAAAAAAAAAAAAAAGAATCTGCTTGCGGCGGATTGGCGGGCAGTGAGAGCCGTACTTGTTTGTACCAGGGGATCGAAACAACTGAGCGAAAAAGCCTATTAGTGTACCGAAATATAAAATGTACAACATAAAAGCACTTCGGCGTTCAATACCGTCAAGTTTCTGTTTCGTTTTTCACTTATTCAAACGTTCCAATAAGCGACATCAATAAATTACTCTAGGAACAGAGGATCCTAATTACTGAAACAATAAACGTAAAGTGAGAAGGTTGAGAAACTGATTTACGAGTGTGTTAATAATTAATCGTCCAGCTGTAGCGATATATCGCAGGAAATAATGGCGAAATGACGGATCCTCGATGAAAGAACGTGTTTTCGTTGGGGTTGGCAAGAAAAGCAATATTACAAGAAAAACGATTTCGCATTGTGCCCACGTTGTAACGTTTGCAATGAGACACGTGGCTGCCATACCGCATGCCACGTGCCGACCAATCTAAATCTAATAACACAAACAGCTTTACAATAACGCGTGCTCGCTACCGCTTGCTGGCTGGAGGTAATAGGACACCATGTGAACTAATCGGCCCGAAGTGGTCCTCGAGATCCTGTTTCGCTATTTGTTGATTCCAACGTGGGTTCTCCTGGGACCTACACCACTCGAGCAAAAGATGCTTGCGGCGATTAAATTGTTATTTCGATGTAATGCAATAATTATTATCAGGCTGCAGATTTTTTCTATTTGACATTTCACGTTAACAAAATAAAATCTAACTTCGATATTGACGGTATAAAGGTATAAGGTGTTTTGTTAATAATTATTTTATTTTTCGGGAAGGGATTGGTAAAACGAAAAGGATCATTTTCTTACTTAGAATTAATATTCACGTAGGTTAGTGAGCAATTCAAAAATTATGAGAGAATAATTACTTACCCACTATACAGCGTGATTACTTGCTTCTTCTTATTAATATTCGGTGTTATTTCCAACATTATTTATATCAAAATTATTAAATTAAATCAATGGGAGGATTTGTAAATGAATTTCAAATTACTGATTTTAATTCTCAAAAATGTAAGTTTAATTTATTTTAATATACATAGACGAGCGTTCGTACGCGCGTGTATGTGTTCATGTGCGTTCGCATGCACGTACAAGAACGACGCGCCATGTAAAAGATGATGACATTGCGTGATCGAACGAAAGTGGTAATTAATTATTATTATAATCAAGATCACAAGATCACAGAGCGAGTACGGCTCCGGGTAAAAGAGCGCGTCTTCCACGATGATGGAAGTCTACTCGTCAAGTCGATATGCAAAAAGGAACTTTTTACAATAATAACTTTTAACGACACTCGTTCCGAAAGAAAAATATGATATACGAACTACGCTCGTAAACTGCTGCAAAATCTGGACTAATTGGAGATTTCAATTCTGCAACGGTACATGCCTCGTATACTTTCGTGAGATTTCGTTTTCTGTGAAATTTGTTTTGGGCGGGCTTATCGAACGATTCAAATCAACTATACGTTTTTTTATACAATTGCTGCGGACGAATCCAATTTTTAATGTTGCTTCACGATCTTTGTCCATATCCATATGATATTTCATTCAGGCATTCTTGTCGTTGCCCGTTTTTTCCATGAACAAATCGTACATGAAAGAAACAAGCGAGCGTATTTCATTGTAGAAATATTCATGGCAAACACAGCGACGAGTATTTGTCATAATCGATCGCGTAGTTAAAAGATTGGATCGCCAGCGTATTTATCATACGAATCAAGCTATGACGCTCTACGATTATTTACATCTATATATAATAATTTTCGTCCTATATTCATGTTAATATCGTTTCGTTGGATTCCTGGAAATAGTTTTGTTTTTTTTTTTTAATCCTTTTGTACATCGCAACAATATTTACAAGGAAATTTACAAATTACAAGTTAAACGTTACACTACCTAGCCGATATTGGTTAGTCTCTTAAAACGTACGGGTAGGAAGATAAAATTTCAAACTCGAAAATGCTCTCTAAAACTATGATGTCTGTTATTCACTGATAAGCGATATGTCCGTCTAGTGGTGTTATTATTTTTTTTTTTTTTCTTTCCTTTTCCTAGACTTTCATTAGCCTCTTTGCTAGCTTTGATATAAAATTGCTCAGCACCCTGTGAACGTCCCCGCCTGCGTATACTATTGCCTCTTCCGTAACTTTCGAACAGCTAGACGATCATGTCGTCGGAAACGTCGTACTGCAAAGTCGAAGACAAAACACCGTGAAAATAGTTTGTCGTAAGTTTGAGAACATTTCTAATAATTTCGTATACGAGAGGAGACGCAGGGCAGAGGAGGTACTCGACTCTATCGATGAGAATGATCTTTTCGTATCGGCATAGCTAGAATCAAAATAGCGATATCGGAGACACGAAAAGAGAATAATCGTTCGGTTGCTTATTGAAAAGAGTTCAATGAGTTCAGTTGCCATTTAACTTTCTCACGTTCCGTGAAATTGTAACATCTCGATTGATAAACGGATCTTCCGTTTATATTCAACTTCGTTATTTTATTGGCATTTGTTTTTCTTTCGTTCAAAAAAATTTCAAATCAACTTTTATGCAGATTGCAATTTTATATAAAAAAAAAAAAAAAAAAAATGAAGAGTGTTTGGAAATAGTTACGAAAGAATTAGTGTCATTATTACAAGTGCCGAACCGAACGACTATGTCAATAGACGAAGAAAACACCCCTACGTGCTTCGATATGTATCATTCCTTAACTTATTTGATCATCATTAACGATAGATAAAATGTTGTCGTCAATTTCTTTTCGCACTGATTTTCAATATACTCTCGCGCTGGAACTAAATTCATCGCTCAGCTCCGACGAAAATGACTGCGCAGACGGTTCTCCGCGGCGATCTCCTCTTCTATTGCGCGGTAACTAGGGGAGGGGAAAGTAAAGTGTGAGTCGAGAGGACCGATTCCGTTTCATGAAAGCGATTGTCAATCGCGAGTACGATGATTATCAGAATATGAAAATTCGCTGAAATCCTGCGATGCATCGGTGGATTTCGCTTCCGTGAACACATAGCCCCTCGATATTTTCGCCGGAGCTTACATCTCGTAACACTATTTGCCGTTCGACGAGAGCAACGGGCTGGCGGCGTTTGAATATCCTTGACTGCAGGTGGGCAACATAAATGGATTCATGTTGAACGGTGAACCAACAACCTCTCCTAGTCCTGCAACATACCCACTGTCGGTTATATATTAGTGTCATTCACTGCAGCTTACGGGTTAAAAAGTTAAAAGTAATTGATGAACTAGCGATCCAGGAAATTATCTTTCAACTGTCTTGATGCAATTTACAAAATCACGAGAACAGCAATTTATCATCTAGTGCTTTTCTAGAATCTAAAAACGAGATAGGAAAATGCAGAATTAGGTCCACAGAAAATGTATCCGTTCGTTCAATTGAAATTTCCTTGTTTATCTTCCTGCGTCTCGCAACGAAAACGTGGTTGATTAAAGGGGAAAATCGATTAAAACGAGATAACCGGATAATGTCTACTTTACTTTGCTGCATAAAATCATAATAGCAAGTACTTTCTGGGATCACTAGTTCAAGAACGAATTGAATTATAACGACACAGATGTATATATAATTGTTTCTATAACGTTCCAATTTTTATATGTGTAGACAAATAAATTTTTCGTGAATATACGAGAATAATAGCGATATAAATGAACGTAAACAGGAATGATCGTAATTTAAATATAAGAGATAATATGAGTAAAGTGTAGAATAATTTGTTTGTGCATATCTTTGTTTAAATTTGTTATTTAATTTCTGCGTACTATAATCGCAACTTGCATATTGTAGGAGTTTGTCATTTAATGTCACTTAATGAATAGGAGTATTTTCATATCGAGGACTAGTATATGTGAAAATGAAACACTGTATTTGACACGATCGCTCTAACGACATTAACGATCTTATTAGCTAAGTGACACTAAACGATGTCATAATGATTCTTCTACAAGGATATCTCTTCATCACGATAATAATGGAAGCTATGTAATGTATTTTACGCTTTCGAGCAAATAAATTTATTTTATTTTATTAGTATAAGCACAACGTGTCAACTGTAATAATTTACCTATTCGTACAAATTTGCAATTAATGGAATTAAATATTTGAAAGATTCAAGTGAAAAGAATTCTTACTGAATTCTTTAAATATTTGAAAAATTGAAAGTAGCAGGGAGTTGATACAAAACGTCATTGACTCAAGTCGACAGAAAGATCATAATAATGACAGATCGTGACAGCCGAGATGTAACAACGAATTTAACGAATTCAAGGAGAGGGAGAAGGATTATCAACTATTCATAAATGAACGTGCGTGTACATACATCCTCAAGTCTTGTCTCTCGTGCATGTTTCTCATAATTCTTTAATCGCAGTGCATAGGGTGGTTGTGGTGGTGATGATGGTGGTTGTGATGGTGGACGGTTAGCGGTTACTGGGCGGCTGTGGCGAGGTGGTGCTGTGTGGACCAGTGCGGTGGGACTGAGGTGGTCGGTGGTCGTACTACGGGGGCGAACGCACTCCCGTCCCCGGACGTATAGAAAATGCCATATTGTTCGTGCGCTAAAACGAAAATTTCACATAAGGGAAAAATCATAGGTGCGTGCGCCGAAAACCAACTCTAGTGACAAGCGTATATGCGTGCCATCGCTTCAAATACACACATACACAGATTTCTGCGTAACAGCATGCATACTGAATTGCAGGGCGAGACGTATTTTTACTAACTAACTGCCTTCTTCGAATTGTTCCAACAATCTTGAATCATTAACGAACAAGTTCGAAAACACACGAGCAAAAGGCAGAGTCGGATAGGAGCGAAATATAAATAGAATAGAATAGAAAATTGAAGAGATACAAAGTCAAGGTCGATGTCATCGAAACATTATATTACTTACGCGATGTATAAAGTGTCGGGCTACCGGTATACGGATTGGCTACCGAGTAACTTCCGTTCGTGCTGTGACTGTGAGGTGTACTAGCCGAACTTCCGCAATAACCACCACCGGTCACGACCCCACGTGGACTCGCGCTGCTGCTCTGCCTGTAGGCGTCGGCGCTGCCACCGACGCTTCCTCCGACGCTACCACCGCCGCCGCCACCGCCTCCAGCACCGGCTCCTGTCGTCACCGAACTACCGTCTAGAAATAGAAACCTGCCCGTCAGACGAACTCGTCAGTATATTTCATCATTCTGTTCGCAGCGTCTTGCCTAGTATACCGGAACGAAGACGAGTCGACGTATAACGGTGGATCGACAGATTTATTCTCAGTTACCAGTTGAATCGCTATGTTACGCTATAAGACGCTGTTCAGACGTGGAAAAATACAATATAAAATTGATTGCTCGCCAGACAAACAGAACTGGTTTCTTGAATCTAGTATCATCTCAAATCGTACGTGAAAAAATGAAACAGATGAGATTCGTGTTTCCGTGGCACGCAATCGTTGCCATTACATTCGTTAAAAATTCCTCTAATTTTGAATGACGTCGTTGGCTTCCGGAGTAAACGTTACATTTGTAATTAGCGCGATTAGCGATTAGTATAGTGTATCGCGATCGTTTCTAATTGCGTTTCCAATTGTTGTAACGTGACTGTGTTATCGTGTGATCTACACAGAATATCACTGCAATACTTACCGTCTGTCCACTTCGTCGCGCTACCGTTTTCTTGTACCGTCACTGCCAGTTGTCCTGTATACGAGTTGAACGCTGTTGCCGAACTGGAGGTCGGTGGTGCAGGTGGATGACCCGATCCCGGACTCCTTGGCGCTCCGGTGATTCCGGCGTTTCCGCTTCTCGGCATACTGTACAAGGCTTCTGCAAGATCCGCTGCCCTTTTCAGTATGATCTCTTTTGGTAATTTCTCGGGATCCCCTGGATGCCGAGGAATGAGCTTCTGTAATCTTTGGAAGCCGTAGTCGATCGTCGGTTCGTTTAACGCTGAAAAAAATGTGTAAAACTTTTACCTTACTTTCACTTTAACGGTGACATGTAACTTTTTAATTTCTCAATCTATCGATCTCTAGTTATACACTTTTTAAATTTTCCGAAAGAAGGATTCATTCCGATCAGATCGACACTGACAACGAATAATTTTAATTAACTACAAAAATTCGGCGTTCTTGCCTACGAAAAATAGTAGGAGTCGTTTATACTCACAAACATAAACAAATCTACCAGGCGCTCCTTTACAGAATTGTTTAGTTTTATAGGACAGCGTGACCTCGACGACGCCTGGTATCTGCCGTGGTGGAGTTTGTACTCTAATTGCGTTTGGCGTAATTAGCTGAGGGAGAAAAATTAATGAATGTGACGTACTCAAGGTACGTACGTCATTGCACGTTATTCGTTGCATCGACGAACAAATTGTTGTTTAATTTCGTGTTCTATCGTGTTTCTTGAAACATAAAATTCCGTACCTCGCTCCAAACCAGCATCGAGCCGAAAACGACTTGAAGTCCATCGAAGAAATTCTCTCCAATGATTATTACCGTGGATCCGCCAGATGTCCAACCTTCGTTCGGCGATATCGCTTTTATACACGGCGTTTGAAGAGGTACAGGCGTGTAAAGACCTGATTTGCGGACACACAATTGTCATTGATTTAACAAACGAGTCGAATCTGGCTTAAGCTTAAAATACAAATAAATCGGAGTTTATCGTTTTCTCAAACAAATAACGATAATTGATATATATCGTACATAAGCGTATAAACGACACGGTTTTAAAGTTATACGCAACTGCAAAATTTGAGATTACATCTCCCCGCAGGATTAATTAAAACGATATACAGCGTTAATATCTCAATATTATAGTATGATTAGCCATTTACATTTGCACGCTTGCTGTGTCGCGTCACAAAATTATTCCAAGCATTAACATTCCAACTGTGTGTGACGTAATTTGCCGTAAAATAAATTTCATACACACATAAATTTTATATACGTACATATATATGAAACTTCCGTACACAGTGCAAAGAAGGTACAATACAGTTTACCTAATTCAAGTTCGATCTTTTCAATTCTGTTCGTAGGGGTTCAAAAAAAAAAAAAAAAAAAAGAAGCAAATCCAAAAGTCCAATTTGCACAACAACGAACGACACGGAAGTCTCAAAAACTATGTAAGAAAGGGAGCGGAGAGACGAGCGGAATAGCTGCGATCGCAGCAAGTAAGCTGAGACAGTTAGTTAGAGGGTGGGATACGGAAAATTATCAGAATATTCTGTTTATTCGGTCGAGGCCGTGTGGTAGATATATTTCCCGCGGCGGTGGCGGCAAGGAGAAAGAGTAAGAGAAAGAGAAACGGGCGAAAGCGAGAAGGAGGAGGAGGAGGAGGAGGAGGAGGAAGAGGCTGAGGGTTGGAGTGGCCGGAGAAGGGTTGTAACAAGAAGGAAGGGAGGCGATCGGGCCGCCGGTGTCTCTGCTTGGAATTTATAACCCAATGATATCATTTTGTACCCCGGCGAAGCCAAGCCACCCCCGGTACCAACCCTGGCAGAGCGGAGCCACGGCAGAGTGGCTGACATCATGGTATATTGCTCCCAGTGACGCTCAAACAGTTTCCACTGCTCGACTGCTCGCGCTACCGTGTAAATCTTGAAAGGTTTAAGAGATCTTGGCGTGGCAGACGCGAGTCGTGCGGCGAGTCGGAAAGTTAAGAATCGTATTCCCCAACACCGGCTAAATATTGCAAAATTTAATAGCACCGAAACGATTGATACGCGAATGAAAGGAAGTTGTCCGCAGTTAATACAGATATTAATGGCTGATATTAATCGGTATTCATCGGTGGAAGATAGTTCAAGTGCCGTGAGAGAGTAACACAGACAGAGAGTTGCCATTGTGTAAATGGAGATTCTTGAATGGGACAAAGGTATTTATTGCGTTCAATGTATAAGAAAGTCGTTAAACAGAGTCAGCCACGTTGGCAACCATCCTGCTAGAGAATTGTCGGAGCGAGATGGTATGGGGGGGCAGAAAAGTAGGAAGAGGTAGAGAGCGGTGGAGGAGGTGGAGGAGGGTTGAAAAGAGGGATTCAGTAGAGGAGGCCGGAACAAGCGTACCAACCCGGAATAAATAAAATCCCCCGTGCCACTAGCGAGTGGTAAGGGGATGCTACCCTTGCTACTCCCTTCTACTCACTTTCTCTCTCTCTCTCTCTCTTTCTCTCTCTCTCTGTCTCTCGAGCTACGAGCTCTCTCCTCTCCTCTTTCACCACGAAACCAAACGTGGCCAAAGTCGAAGAGTCGTTGTACTCCGACACGTTCGGCCCGATTCTCTCTGATCACTGTGAGATCGCGCGATAACTTCGTTTACCCCGATAAAGACCCGAGAACTTCGCCGAGAAAGAAATTGCTTTCACTTTCACCGCGAACGGCATCGTTAAGCCTGTGTTTTATGACCAAACTGCTTTCTCTCTCTCTCTCTCTCTCTCTCTCTGCCTGCTGGCTCGATTGTCTAAAGTATATCGAAATCACTTTGGCATTTTCCGCGAGAGTAGATCTCGAAGAAGAAAAGTCCGCCGGAAATCCGTTTCAGCTTTGACAGATAGATTCGAAAGTCTGATTTCTAAAACGACTGCGAGAGAATTGCGTTCGCAGTTACAAAGCTATTCCCTTTGTCCGTGTCCTCTCTCTCTCTCTCTCTCTGTCTCTCCAGATGTTGTTCTGTAAGTGTGCGTTCTCTCCTTTCGTCTCATTGGTATGCCTGTTTCAGCGTTTTGGGAGTTGCTCGCTAGGGAATTTGGAAAGAGTGCTAGCAGGACGACGGGAGCGGCGTCACAGCTCAGTCGCAAAAGCTCGGGGGATGAGATAGCATAAACTTAGCATTCACAAACCAACACCTCGCAGCAACCACTGCTAAAAGAGAGCGAGAGCTCGCCAGAGTGTGAGAAAGACAGACAGACAGACAGACAGAGAAAGAGAGAGAGAGACAGAGAGAAGAGTTTTCTTCCTTTCTTCCATTCTCTTTTATTCCTGTTCTACTTGTGTCTTCCCGCTTGATGGCAGTCGGCCCGACAAAAAGAGGAACGAAAAGATAGGGTAGGGAAAGAAAGCTTCGGAGACGAGCGGAGAGGAGCGAGAGAAGAGAATAGAAGAGGACGGAGCCAGGAGGATAGGAGAGAGCACAGAGCGAACGTGGTGGATCCCTCCTCGTTTTCCCCGCATCCCATTGATTTACATCTTGTCTTGGCGCGGCAAGGAAGAAAGGCTGGAAGAAGAAAGGCTAGGAGAAGAAGAGAAGGCGCGTAATCGAGGGGTGGCCGCGCGATATCAGCCGTTTGTATGCGCGACCGACGCCAAACTTTGCTGAATTGCCCTATGACTCCTTATATCCTATCCTCCGAGCATAGCCCCTCCCCTCCCCCTCCCCCTCCCCCTCCCGCCCCTCTTACGATTCCACCCTCTACTACGGCTCCTCGAGTCGTTATACCGATCTCGAAGAAAACCGACTCACACCGCTCTCGTGCCATTCCCTTCCCTTCCCTTCTCGTACGCGCGTTCGAGGATTCCGCAAGGGAGGGAAACGCCGCTCCAGCCACCGAATCCTCCAATTGTAAACGACGACTATAAATCGGCCGAACAACTATTCCCACGATTACGCGTACGCGATTAATTGCGTGCCCTCCCCCCCCCCCCCCTCTCTCTCTCGTTTAAAATTTCGTCCCTCTCGTTTCAGAGTTATTATTTCACTCTTTAAACTGAACGAATTTTTCGTGTCGCGCAAAGTATGCGTTTATCGAGCAAGCGTTTCATGCATTCGTGCTACAATTGATCAAATGACGTTAATTATTTATTTGATGGTTGTTGTTGGCGATACTCACTGTTGTACTCTCCGGGATCACTGGGATCCAATCGTTTCGTTCTACGCCCGTGTTTGCTGTTGTTGTGAACGAACATGTTGTCCGAGACGGCCAGCAGTGGTCCCTCTACTCCTACTTGCGTGGAAATGACCACCTGTTACATTGACATTCGTTGATGTGAGACGTCAGGTAAAAATTTTCGTAAACTCGGGAGAGAAACGCCTTCAGTTAGATGTTAGATAAAGGTGCCTCGAATCTATCTTAAATCTGAGTGAAAACTGAGTTTCTCTTAACGAAAAGAAGTTACGTTTTCATACTGTCAGAACTGACTTTTTTCATTTACTAAGGAAGTTAAACGTAAAGTTTCTACGTATCTTTTACGTTATTCCAGAATAAATGGAATAAATAGAAATTGATATTGACGTTTACGTGCGTTAATAAAATTTATACAGTCTCTGATGCCTATGAGTTACAACTATCGTCAAGTAGGACACAAAAGGGCGTGAATATATATATATATATATATATATATATATATATATATATATATAAACTATGTCGCACATTACGTGTTGCGTAATTTTATTTACACGTTATGTATGCAAATGCAGTATATATGTTAATCACACCCTTACGAATGAGCCACGTAAAGTTTCTTCGTATCTTTCACGTTATTCCAGAATAAATAGAAATTAATAGTGACGTTTACGTGCGTTAATAAAATTTATACAGTTTCTGATGCCTGTGAGTTACAACTTGTTAAACTATCGTCAAATAGGACACAAAATATGATGTGTGTGTGATATATATATACAGAAACTATGTCGCACATTACGTGTTGCGTAATTTTATTTATACGTTATGTATGTAAATGCAGTATATATGTTAATCACACCTTTACGAACGAGCAACGTAAAGTTTCTTCGTATCTTTTACGTTATTCCAGAATAAATAGAAATTAATAGTGACGTTTACGTGCGTTAATAAAATTTATACAGTCTCTGATGCCTGTGAGTTACAACTTGTTAAACTATCGTCAAATAGGACACAAAATATGGCGTGTGTGTATATATATATATATATATATATATATATAGAAACTATGTCGCACATTATGCGTTGCGTAATTTTATTTACACATTATGTATGTAAGTGCAGTATATATGTTAATCATATCCCTTACGAACGAGCAACGTAACCTGATTTGCCATATTGCGTTATGTGTATTCGCCATGCATTCCGTGACTCTCGTGACCCCCCTATTTGTATGACAGATACTATCGCACAAATGTATGAATATAATCTCATTAAAGCCGAGCCTACAGTTGCCTCCTATAACCAGCTTAGAACAGTGTACTATTTCCTATGTTTTTTTTCCTGCTGAAACGTCAGAGAATTATTTCTTTCCTAATTTTATTCAGAAAATTAGGAAACTTTGTATACAGAACAATTAAAGAAAAATAATTACGCGGTAATTCTATACCCTATATTTCTTTCATCGATAATGCACGTTCTTCTTCGCCTTCCTTTCCTTTTTCCTCAATGCAGACAGCAATACATATTTGCGAACGTGGAGCAGAAGTTCAGACAAATTGAAACAAGGCACGTGGTTAACCCCGGAGTTTCGCGGATGCAAACAAGAGGACGATGATTTTCGGGAGAAAGTAGAAAGAACGTTTATAAAATCGACTCGGGCGGTCGGCAAACGGCCCGAAGTTTTGTCCTTCCGTAACTTCTCAACTTTCTCGGCTAGTTGGCCGCGGTGCCTAGCGCGAGTAACGTCGTGCAAACTTGTCCGGCGCGAGGGTGAGAATAACCCGGGCCGCCCTTCGCCGCCGAGAGAAATTCTCGCATGGAAGAAGGGTGGAGAAGGCGCCGCTGCTAAAATTTTAATTCGCAACGTCAGGCAATAAGCAATTCCTAAACAAATTCGGCGGAACAATAAGTACTTTAACTTTGGTTTGCCTTTGGGCCAAAACCACGCGGAGAAACGAGTCCGCTCGGTGGATTTAAATTTGACGAAAGACGTAAATTTGGAAATTGCACACATTTGGATAATTTCGTCGCGGAGGACGTTGCTTCCGAGAAGACAGAGAAATTAGCGAACAGTTAGCTTCTCCTTCGCTTTTCGTCTCTCTTTCACCCGACGTTGCGAAGAAGGTGGCCAAGAAGAAAGGGAAGGCAAGAGTCGCGCGATAAGGCGGGCCGAACCAATGATGAAGGCGAAAAGACGGGGCGCAAAGTTTTTGGTAATTTATTTTTTAATTCTAGCTTTTGTCTGTGGAAATGGATACGGACGGGGTGGCGAGATACGGCTGTCGGTGAGTAGGAGAGACCGTTATACGAAGGTGGGGGCGGCAGAGCGAACGGATACGGGGGTGGGTCGGTTGATGCCGCGCTGAGCTAATTGCCAACCCCTTGGATTACGTCTCTTGGATGGGGATCTCAACTTGCGACGATGGTCGACCATCGGGAAATTGCTGTCTCCTTCGCCAACTTTTTCTTTCCTCCCTTTCCTTTTTTCTTCCTCTCTCGAAATTAAAAAAGAATGTGCTTCCAAGTGGAAGCTACGCACGATCCTCTGGACGCAATGCGCTACACGCACCATTCAACGATCCAACTAATCCAACAGACTTTTCGTGTTCTCGTGCTTTCATTCCTCCGTCTGTACACACTGTTTACAGAAGTTGCGATACAATTTTCTCATCGCAATAACAGATTTGATTAGAAATTTGATTAGGCTCCAGTTGCTGACCGATGGAAAAAGTGGCAAAATTTCTTAAACGTTCGGATTATTAATAAAAAAAAAAAAAACACATTGATTCAGTCAACTTACTTGGAAGCGTCTCATATCGCGTGGATTGCCGGCGTTCTTAAGGCAGTTCTGGTTGCACTTGAGGAAGAACTTGAGGAAGAATCTGAAAGCAGAGGGGACCGGAGTTAAACGGTTGACAAGGTGCTTAACGCTCTTCAACGCCGAGAACTTAATTAGAACGTGAACTTGGCTTGGAAAGTAAGTCTGAATATTGCATAAGCCAATCGTAAGCCCTGTTCTACTCGCCTCTATTATTCAGCATTTCTCTAGATTAAACCCTCAACCACGTGTTCTCCGACCTTTAGGACTGTACGCTGCATCGCATTTGTACCGCGCTAGCGTGCATGGCTACTGCGTCACTCTAACCAAAATGTCAAATCGAACGTTCTGTCTAAAAGCACATTTCTTTACAATTGTTCCAGTGTTACCCACACTGTCGTGCTAACGTGTTACTAACTCTCCGTTAATTCCAAAGGTCGCACAAACGTTTGAACTTTTCGCGAAGAGGCTATAAATTTGATCGCGCGATCAAACGTTTGTTCATATCGACGTTAACTTGTCTAAAAAAATCAGCGAACTTGAAAACGTTCGCGCGAACTAAATGTTCGCGAGAGCATCATCCCTGGCTGGAGTTGAACGAATTTACACCGTGACGTGAAGCTGACAAGAAACTGGATATGCTTTGCAAACTTGACAACGGTAATTTAACGGGTTGCAAAAGGGAATTCAAGGAGAACATGCGAGGAACGAGAGGCAAGTTACCAAGGCAAAAAGCCAACGAGTCAATTTTCATGAATTATGTAGCGTGTAGGAGGAATATTGAATTTGAGGAAATTTTTGTAGACGCGGGCAATGCTCGTCTGTTTGCAGCGGTTGAGAGTGAAAGGCAAAGGAAAAATTTGCCAAGGAGACGGAAAGAGGGAAACACGGACTATCCACGTGCCTGTGTTGGTAGACTGAGATAGATGAAGAGAGAGAGAGAGAGAGTGGAGAAAACTCGTAGGAAACAATCAGGAGGACCGAGACGATGAAGAGTTCGACGGATGAAGGGGTAGTTTTCTGGGTGGCTGGTAGGCCTGTCCTCCCGGGGGACACCATTGTTATCCCCCTACGGATTGCGTCTATACGATCTCGGGACTCCATCGAAAAATCAAACGCATACCTCCTGCTAGCGACGCCCGCTCTTTTTTTTTTTTCCTTTCTCGTTTGCGCGAATCGCCCAAGCGAAACTGTTGGAGGAACTCGTCTGATTTCACTTCGTCGCATCGCGTCGCCTCGCCTCAATTCCTATCAATACCGCGTTTCTTTACCCGTGCCTTTGTCTCCGCTATTTTCTATCCGCTGTGTTCTATACAGACGTCAAGAGATAAACGGAGAAGCGGAGGGAAAGACTGCACGGGACACCAGTAAACGCCAGTTCGTTTAATTTTATGGACGCTGGCGGAATAAAAATCGTTTAGGCACCGTATTATGCACACGCGGTCCATCATCCTTATCGTTGCGTTGATTTATCTCTCGTTGCCTCTCACGTCACTTTTCATTTCTCGCAAAGTTTAGAAAAAAATGAAAGAAAAACTAAAGCAGCACTGGTGACAGTTTTAAGCAACACCCAGAGACAATTCCTCACAATCTTTTCAAAATGTCATGTTTGTTGAAGTTCTCATAAAGTTCAAGTTCTCATAAAGTTTGGACAAAAATAAAGCAGTGCTAGTAACACTTAACACTTAAATTTATCTTTCACACTGGCGCCAATTGGGTGACGCAAAATTCAAACAATTCTTCACAATCTTTTCAAAACGTTGTGGTTATGTTTGATGCGTTCTCATAAAGTTAAAAGAAAAAAGAAAAAAAAAAAATAAAGCAGCGTTAGTAACAGTTTAAGGAATACCTAGTACGTAAATTTTTCTTTTACATTATTAACTGGACGTTGCAAAACTCTATTTTACAAAATTCAAATAATCGCAATCTTTCAAGACTTAGGGTTTATGTTTGTTACGTTCTCATAAAGTTTGGAAAGAAATAAAGCAATGCTGGCAAGAGTCCAAGTGACACTCACGTAAATTTATTTTTTATATTGGTACCAATTGGGCGTTGCAAAGCTCTATTTCACAAAGTTCAAACAATTCTTCGCAATCCTTTCAAAACGTTAAAGTTATGTTACGTTCTCATAAAATTTAGAAAAAAAAATAAATAAATAAAACTGCGTTCGTAAAAGTTTTAGCAATACGTACCTAGTACGTAAATCTATTTTTATATTGATACCAATTACAAATGTCGCAAAGTTCTATTCTACAAAATTCAGACAATTGCTCGTGATCCTTTCAAAACGTCGAGATTATGTTCGTATGCACGCGTGTATCCTCGGCGTAGTGGCAGAACCGTCAATTCGCTTCTTTTTGCGATATCGCAACGCAGGCAGATAAGCGAGAGCGAGCGAGCGCGCGCGCGCGCGCGCGCCTATTATTATCGCGCATTACGCGTGCTCGGATTATCTAAACGGCGGCAGTTTTATCGCCGGTCGCATGACGCAGCGCGAGTTGTCAACCTCCGAGCGGAACGTTTGGCACGAAATCCATATAGATGGAAAAGTGAAAAGTAAAAACGGAAAACCGATCGGCGCGGCGCGGCGCGGCCCTTGTTCGCGCAGCGAGCGCGGAAGGGAACGACTGGATATATAAAGAGAAAAGGCGCAGGAAGAACAGGAAGGGTGGATATACAAAAAGAGAAAGGGAAAGAAACGTATCGATCTCCTGCTTCATGCTTCTCGTATCTATCCGTATTCATGGATACTATGTACCTCTAGGTTTCGCGTTAACGGGCCCTGCCTGCGCTCGGCCCGTGGCTCTTAGAGCGCCGTGCGAATTTAATTTCGTTTGCTCTTAGAGGACGTTAAGATCCTATCGAGATGCTGGATGGGTATTCAAAGCATTGTACTTTGCCTTATCGTCGTGTGGATCTTGCTCTAAACACGATGTCTCTGCCGTGCCCGAGGCGCGGTGAAGCGGAGGAACAGCCTTCTAATCTTTCGCAGATACGAATCCTATCGACCGTACCTCCGTGTGTGTGTATACACACACACACACACACACACACACTCACGTCGTGTTGTAAGAACCACGCGAAAACGCGTTAACGCTGTCGACGCTACAGAGAATGACGAGCAGCGAGCAGCAAGTCTCATTTTCGCTCAAGTTTCAAAGTGATTGTAGCTCGTTCATCGATCTACCTTTTCAAAGGCATATTTTCCTCTCCGGATGCATTATTTCACACGATATTATAATTCGGATGATTGATAATTCTTTTTTTTCTTTTTTTTTATTTTTTATATACGAAGCTGGTGACACGTAACGCTAATGATTCGCGACAGCCTACGATTCGTACCGACGTTCTATCCATCCCTTCGTTCTCTTTCTTCTTTTTTTTTTCTTCAGAGAGTCGTTCTCTTCCTGCACGCTGTCCTCGGAGTATTGGCTGTTAGGAGCTAATGGATTGCGTTACCGACTGATTCAAATGCGAACTGGATTTCATTCTAAGCTCGATGGGGCGACAGTATCGGCGACATTGTAACGGGAACACGGCGAGCAAGAAGGGCGGGAAGGCCAGTTTCTTACAGGGGCTCAAACTCGATTTCGATCATCTATTAGATTTTTCTCTCCTTCGGCGATGCTTTCCGCGAGCTTGCGCCAGTTTTCACGATAAAAATCTATTCTGGATCGTCGCCTAACGCAGCCGGGAGGTGTGTATTTTACGTCGTCGAGGCATCCGATCCGGTTAAAGATCGTTTGTTTCAGCAACGTGAAGATTTTCCATTTAACGGTGAAAGAGTTTCCATTTAAAGCGGATGTTCTTGAAACGTCTGAATATCAACGATGCTGCAATTCAATGTTTCGCGAAATTCAACTTGAAACATGGAGGAGAGGAATTGCGGAGTGGAAAAGAAGAGAAAATGTGAAAAACAAAAAGCGCAGAACGAGGCAAAAAGCTTCTCAAGTTTAACCACTTGCGCTGGCAACTGATTGCGGACCATAACGAGTGACCAAACCGTATACGACAACTCGTCGGTATGATATCACTGGATAATTAATACTGAAAATTATTAAGAAAGAAATTCTCAATACGTGCTGTTGCTCTGCGCTGGCAAACTGATTGCGGACCATAACGCAATAAAATCGTCGCTTTCTTTCTCTTTCGAACTCGTCGGCACGATGTCACTGGATAGAAATGATTGAGAAGTAATAAATTTATTATTTGGTTTTGCCTATTTTGTTCTACCTAAATATACTTAAAATTGAGAAAATATTGCAATTTTGGGACAAAAAAAAAAAAAAAAGAAAAGAACAAGAGGTTAATAAGCTTAGAAGAACAGGATCGCTGTATGAAGGCAAGCGAGCTCGGTGCCGCAATTTAAAGTGTTTTATCGGTAAATACGAGGAAACGAATCGGTTGATTCTTGCCGTATTGGTCGCTGGATTCGGCTGCTAACGAATTGACACGGAATAAAATATACAGGGGCCGACCGATTGAGAAATCATTCCCAACCTACCTTCCGATCGCGTACCGATACCTTTCCGTTGCCTCTCCGCTAAAATGAAAATAAAACGCGGCAACACGCAGCGGAAACGCAGAGGGTTGCGCGCGATAGGAGAAGGGGAGACAGAATGGCAACGAGAAACCTGCACCGTTCGCTGTTTCCAGTTTTAACAGTATACAACTTCGCAACGTGGATGAACGAACGAGCCAGAAAAAAATAAACGACGCAATGAAAAAAAAAAAAAAAAAAGAGCTAAATATTGGGGGTTCGCGGTAAGGGAGAGAAGAAAGAGAGAGAAAGAGGGAGGGGGGCAGGTAAACAAAACAGAATGAATTCAATCAAACCTTGCAGTAAATCATCGGCACTTGTGCAGCGGTTTGTTAATATTTCCCCTTTGTAGCAATTAGTAGCATTTTTCTAACTGTATCGAAGAGGATAATTTTCTGTCCGAGAAAGTAATTTGCAACGAAATGTTCTCGCGTCGAAAGAGAGATAAATATGTTTGTTGCGTGACAGATAGACATGTATGTACATTTCGACCGCAATGATAAAGAGGATGTTGCGAAACTCTT